AATCCATACTCTCCCCCCCTTCCTTAATAACCCCTTATTCTGAAATCGCGCTAAAAAGTATATACTCTCCATATCCCCTGCCCTTAAGAAATTCCGCCATTCTAAAATCATGATAAAAATTCATAATGTACATTTCGGCCCTTGAGACTCCCTTATTATAAAATCGCGGGAAAATCCATACTTTCACCCCCTTAACCCTTTGCGCTATAATGACGAGGTAGACTCATTCGGTTAGAATGTGTTCATAATTAATTCGAAGCGCGAGCGGTTAAGAGTCCCTTATTCTAAAATCGTACTAAATAAGCCTCTAATCGGCCTCCTATGAAATCCCGACCAGACTCCCTTAATTTCCAAGCCTCTCGATTTTTCGCCAACGTCGCGAGGGGGAAACACGGCGGAGAAAAAGGAGAGAAAAATGGGGGAGCCGAGCACGTTTCGGCTTTCGGATGGAGTGCTCGTTCTTAATTAGCGACGAGCTCGGCTCTCGTTTCTCACGATCGATCCCGGCTCGTTCCCCTGTCGGGTTTTTCGGGGATTCAATTTGTGTCGAGAGAAAATTGGAAGAAGTCGCGCGACCTGCCGCGCAGCTGGGGTAGGTCAGGGACCGGAAGTCGCCCTTAAGCGCAGACCCCGCGAGACGAGAGTCGAACTCATTCTCGAGCTTCATTTCGAGCAAGACTCGTTACCCGATTGCAATTAGCGAGTCGAGCTTCGGTATCGACCCCTGTCTCGCGAACCCTCGTGGCGATGAAAACCCGACCCCCTTTTTCGCGCGACCAGATAAAACTGACAACACGTGTGAGACCTCGTATCTCGAGAGAGCAGAAACGTCAAATAATTACACCCCGTATCCCCGCTGACATTAATTACCTCATTATTAATTACTCGGGATTGAAATCGACATATTTATGCACGCAAAGAAGTCGCTACCCGGGAAATTGATAACCGGGCCAAGGGGTATCGATTTAAAACCACCCCTTGCGGAGTCCACAAACGGTTCGGTCGTTTCGTTCCTTTCCTTATCATCCGTCAGACATCCTTACGCAATTACCCTCGTAATTAATTAGCGGAGCGTCGACCCATATCGACTTGCCACGGACGTTGACTCCGGGGTGAAAGACACATTTTCACATAACCTCCAAAAATCGATGGCTGATGAATATAGACATTTTTCCACGTATCTTGAGCAATTATCATCGCCGTGAGACTGGACCAGAAAAGGAGGAGCCACTAAGCATTTTGATTCAGAATTGAAGAACACATTCAAGTCTAATATGTATAATTAATGAATATTGAAACTATTCCATGTGTATGTGTAACTAGTATTACAGGAAGGCGAAGGCCCTGAGCACTTTAACTTCCGGTTGAAAGTCCCATTCTTCAAGCTCACCTAACCTACACAAGTCCATAATTCACCAATATACAAACCATTCCATGTAATAAGCGCAATTAGTATCTTGGTAGGGGAAATTACCGAAAGAAGGAGCTCCGGCCTCGGCAGTTTGACAATGCAAAGAGTCCGGGGTAAGAAAAATGGCCGCGCCGGTGGGGGTGGATGGGCGTCCAAAGTGGGTCGCCAAGTGGACGGAAAATGGGACGTAATCCCCGGGAAAAGTAATCCCGGTGTAAATAACTCGACGGAAAATCTGCCGGGAGCGACGGGAACTTCGCGCCTGGGGCTTCCGGTTGGAAACAGTGCGCGGAAAATCTTAAACACTCCTGCGAGCCGTTTCCTGCCGGCGCGGGGAGAGAGTTCCACTTGTTGAGCGGGTTTCGAGTGGTGGAACCGTCGCATTCAACGTGCGTCGACATCAAGACCCCCCGGGATGACTTTTCCCGATAAAGAGAAGCGCATTACCCTCGTATGGTCCCTCGACACGGCTTCAGAGAGGGGCGGCCCAGCCCGACCTTGCGCCACTTCCGTTCGCGTTTTCGCGCCTGTTTGCGGATTAGTGGTCCACCATGGGATGAGAATTTCGATGCGACAACTTTGGAAGGCCTTAAGCCGATTTGCCGGCCAACTCTCGACCCTGGCCAGGATTCCGCAGGTCGCGTTTGCTCGCCCCCCTGGGACCATTTCCCAAAACACGTCAGACAATTAAGGCAACCTGCTTAACGTGATACAAAAAAGGATTAAATTCAGTGAAAACTCACTTTTCCTTCGCACTGTAAACAATAAATTCAATCATGAGTTCAAGAGAACTCCGGGTGTGACATTTTTTAAACGGCTGATTACTAAGATACGGAATAAGATTATTATTGTTATTGTAATTTAATAGGAGCGAAAAAATTAAATTCCGTAAGGACTGATATCGAGCGTCAAGATTCGATTTTTATCACTTGCAGGCTAAGTACTAAATGTTTCACGAAACTTAAGTAATGAAATTCAAACGTATGATATACGCAATTAGTTAATGAAAATTTATTAGGAATTTCCTCTCCTTCCTTATAACGATATATGAAGAATTTTTACCGGAGATTGTTAATCAAAGTTTAATTAGAGCCGGTTAGAATGGGATTCCATAACGTCTGGAAATAAACGGAGGGCTATTTTTAATTTTCAAGTTAATTAAGAAACGTATATTGACGCGGTTTAAGTGACGTGGAAGTTAGCCGTTTAGCTTAATTCAAATGTGTGTTAAACTCAGTTTGTTAATGAAAATTTAATAGGAGCCGGTCCAAATGAAATTCCTCAGGGTCGTCGGGAAGTAGACGAAGACCTGATATTTTTCAGAGGTTCTGTAAAATCCTCCTCTTCCGGTAATTCCGCGATTCGCGAGACGCGAAGGAGATGAACTTGGAGAGCCTCGAGAGTTCTCCGGGTGGACCTGCGTAGGTAATTGAATTATCCGTGAAATATGCGCGAAGGCGAAGCTTTTCCTTTTCGAAAGAAAGGGGAGATCCGAGTGGAGGATTTTTCCAGGCCCGCGTGGGTGTTCTCAAATTTAGCGAAATGTGATTAGCCCTTTTTAGCAGAGCGGCGGGAGTACGCACGTGTCGCGGAATTAGCAAATAAAATCCGCTGATTAACGGCGCGAGGGAATTACCGAGGAAAAGTAGCGAAAAATAAAAAACCGCGGTCCAGAGCGAATCCCCCGCGGTATTTTTCACTTTTTTTTTTCTCTCTCTCCCTCTCTCTTTACCCCTATTTTTTATTCCGCGATATCCCCGAATGGCCGGGTAATCGGATTATCGCGAAATATCCCCGTCCCGCTTTCGCGAAATAGAAAACCCCCCTTAATGTGATCAACTTAAAAAGAAGGGGGAATCGAATAATCTCATTGAACGGATCTTCCAGAGGGCATGGTCTCGTAAAGGAGGAAACCCGGAGGCAAAAGTGCCCCTGACCCTTGGACAAGGGTCGGAGCTTTCTCAAAGAAGATGCTCGATCCGAACGCCGTCTGGCATTCGAGAAGCTCCCGAAAGCCTCGAAGAGGGTCGATCGGAAGTCGGGGATTCGCTAACGAGCCTAAGAGAGCGATTGATCTCTGACGGCAAGCCTGTGCAATTAACCATAAAAATAACGAGATTTCGGGGGCCAAACCGCGGATTTCGGGAGGAGGGTCTCGGCTAAGTGGAAATCCATTCCGAGGAACCCCAAAACTGCCGCAAGAAACTATAGGAATTACCGAAAATTGAAAGGAAAGATAAACACTAGGAGCGACCGGACCAAACCGCGAATTTAAGGGCGAGAATTCTGACCCTAAATGGCTAATTGGGAATCCATGCTAAGGAACTCCATATCAGTTGTGTTGCAACAAGGTATATAGGTATTGCTGACCAGGAACACTCATGGAGGAATAAAAATTTCAAGCGACCACATACAGATTGGTCCAAACCGGGAATTTCAAAGTAGGGGTCCTAACACTAGATTCCTAATTGGGATTCCATGCTGAGTAATTAGAGTAATTAGAATTTCATGACAAGGAACCCCGAAATCCATTTTCTTGTACCAATTACTAACCGGGAACTCTGAGTGGAAGAAATTCAAACTGGGAAGACACATGTAAGGGACTAATACCAGCCCTGAAGAGTGCTCCAGAAGGCACAGGACGAAGAACTGGACACGCGAGAAAATGAAGAATTAATTCCAGGCCGGTGAAAAGGGGGTTGGAAGTTGAAAAGGAGTAGAAGAGGGTGGTGGACCTAGCCGGAGAACGCGGTCTACGCCCGGGGGTGGCTCTCGTCAGATTTGTCTCATTAGAGTGCGCATTGTGCTCCTTAGGGCTGGTTTACGCTCTCATTACCGAGTTCTTTCGAATCCAACGGGTCCCGATGCCAGGGGCCTCAATTACCGCCAGAAACGTCTGCACCTTGTCGGCTGCTACCGACCTCGGCATTCTCTTCGGGCACGCTACTTCCAGTGGCGTCCTCCACCTTTTCCCCAGGGGGTGGGGACTAATCATCCCCCAATGCGACGTTTGCGCGCGACAAACGAGGGATGGAGATATGTAAATAGACCGGTGGCGACGCTCCGGAAATGAAAGAAGCGCGGATCCCGTCCCGGGCTCGATTCCTCCAGGGTGAGAGGCTGTTGGCCACTTCAGCAATTCCGCTCGAAATTGGAACAATGCGGATTATTTCCGCGCCGAGTGCCGTCGTCTCTAAGTAGCGCGATGCGCGGATTGTTCCACCGAGAAGTCCTTTTATTAGCCATCCTTCCTTCTTCAGGGTGGCTTCGCTGGTTCTCCAGAAAAGGACCGGCGAGGCGAGCTTCTTCGGCTTCTTCAGCGATCGTTGCCCTTATCGGGATCTGCTCCGAGATTCACTGACACTTCTAGCCATAATCCTTCCTCCTCTTCCAGATTCACAGTTCGAGGGGTACCTAAAATCCGTGAACAAAATTACTCAAATTATTCCAGGACCGCTCAATAAATTGCTGATCAGCCAGATCTAGGAGGTATACTTTAATTCTCTCTGTCGACACCTGCATTATTACGAACTAATAAATTAATATATCCACCCTGTATTCTAATTCCGTGCGACCTTTTCCGTTGCAGCGAGTTCCCCGGAGCCGAGGCAGTGCCCTTACCTAGGGAAGTTCACCGTCACGGGGATGAACAAGAACCAGAGGAGCAGCCGCGACAACCGGCGCGGCCCCGAATTGGGTCGCAAGGAGAAGGAAAAGGTCCGACACGCCCAAGAGAGGTCGGAGGAGAGACACAACCGGAAACTGGAATTCGAGGTCGACAATCGGAGGATAAACAGCGACTACCTAACCAGAGAGCACCGTGGCAGAAAAACGCGATCCAGCCGAAACGGCAGAAACCACCGCGAATATAAAGCCGACAGGTTGGAGAACGACGTTGAGGTGGAGGTCGAGGTCGACCACGAAATCCGCAAATCAAGGTCCCGGAGAGTAAGGTCCTTGCCAGAGAGCTCAAACTCTCAAAAATCGAATCTGAAGCATCCTGCACTGAAAAATGATATCGAGGTCGGTCGAAAGGGCCGAAAGTCGAGGTCCAGAAGAATAAGGTCCCTCCAGGAGAACCTGAAGACCCCAGAGATAAGCTTCAAGAACCGATCCCTAGAGGACGAAGTCGAGGCCGAAGTCAGCGACACGCACGAGAACCACGGGTCGAGGTCCAGGAGGATAAGGGCCCTTGAGGTCGACCTTAAAGGATCCAACCTTGAAGTTGAGAACGAGTTAAAGGGCCTGCAGAGGATAGAGTCTTCGGGACCTCGACCTCTCGATGGCGGCGAAGGATCGGACGTGGACTCGACGTCGAGCGAGGTCAGGCAGAGAAGAAGTCCCAGGATGGAGGATTTCCAGCTGGACAAGGACGACCTCGCCCAGCTTAGGCAACTCTGGCCGTCCTGGATCGGCGAGGAGGGTTCTGGGAACGTCCTCCAGGTGCAGGCCGATTATTTCGGGGATTACGACGTCGACGTGCCCACGAAGAGGTCCTCGCCCGAGGGAGCCTTTGTCACGTATCGGGATCTCCTACGGATGAGGAGGGACCTCGAGGACGAGGCCGAGGATTACCTCGAGCGTCGGGAAAAACGGGAGGAGGAGGACTCGCGGTGCTCCAGTGACGTCACGACCTTAATCGTGGGCTGCTCCACGGCGGACAGGATGGAGCTGCAGAGCGACTGCGTCGACGATGACACTGTCACAGGTATTCATTTCACGGGGATTAAGGGGGTCCTTGATGCACCGGCTACCAAGAGCTTAGAAACTGCCTGGAAGAAAAATGCAAGGGCTTATATATATCAGGAGATCCTTAAGGGGATGTAAAAGCGGCTCTGAAGAATCATGAAACTTTTCTCCGAGCTGGATGTACCGAATCATTTTAAACTTTACGACCCGAAAATAGAGGCTATAAGGAAGGTCCCGACGACCATGAAATTTCATTTTTTATAAGACATATTTTAAATGTCAATAAACAAGTTTAAGAAAAAATTCATGGGTGTTAGGACCTTCCTTATAGCCTCCATATTCACATTGTAAAGTTTGAATCAATTTCTCCTCCTCGGAGAAAAGTTTCGCGAACGAAACCCCTCAGATGCGACTTTCACATAGCCTTAAGATGACCTGAAGGGAAGATCCAAGGGGCGACCACATCACATCACTTTAAGGTGTCCTTATTGCCTGTTCCAGCCTACTCCTGCCACGGTAGATGGTTCGACGCCGAGGGCACCCAGTTCGTGATCGCGACTCCGCTGGCCAGGAGAAGTTCCTGGTCGAACGAGAACAACCGGCCGCAGCCCTTCAGGAACAGCAGGAGATTGTGCTTCATGTATAGGGAGAGCGGGGGCGTCGTCAGCCTCACTGCCAGCCCCATAGCCTGCCAGAGGGGCATTCCTCCACCCCCGCCGATGTTGGCCTTCAATGCGACCAGTATCGGTAAGGTCCTCTTCGAGTCCTCCAGAGCAAACCTCTCGACGACTGTGCTTGACGGTTCGCTTCCGGGATTTTCTGCCTCTCTTTCCCCTCAACCTGGAAAAGGAGTAAAGCCGAAGCCGCGAAAAATTCCATCCCAGGCCACCCTGCAGCATCTCTATGGGTCCAGGGGCGACGACGACTCGCTCGGGCGTTGACGGCTCTTCGGGGTCTCTTCAGGGTCGGCGACCGGTAACCGCGTCTCCTTCTGTTCCAGGCCAGTGCATGGAGGAGAACGGCGCCGGCGGTCCTGCTGCATCCTGCACCCTGGTGCTGCTCTTCGCCATCTCGGTCGCCATCTTCAGGTGATTCTAAGCGTGGCCAGAGAGGAGCAAAAGTCGCGATGGGTGTCGTCCTGGGCAAGGAAGAGAGGCACCGCGGGTCGGAGCGACCGCGTCGATCCTTGTCGGATCATCCGCGGTCCGCTCGGGCGCCACCCTGATCTCTATACTTGATAGCTCATCCCCGCTTGCTCGGCAAATTCTGTTTTGCCACATACGCAAGACACCATGACACCGAATCAATAACGCCTACGCACATGGAAGATGCTGATCTAAAACACCCGAACACACACGTAACTCCGTGCTCATATGACAATTTTAGAGTGATAAGTAGCCTTTTATCAGGAATTCACTGTTGAAAAGCACCTTCTAACTCTAAAAGTATGAGTACAACCCGCAGATTACACCAACTTAATGGAAACCGAATATGCTTTATTAGCCTTGCATGGCGTAAAGAGACGCGGCGTTCGAGTGAAGGCCATGATCTTGCTCGAGACCGCATCTCTGGACGCTTCTTTTGAACGTCGCGATGCTCTGAACGCATACGCGAATACAATATTAATTCCTGGGCCCATAATCCAAGGTGCTCAGGCGTTTTTAGTCGTTATGTTTTATGGGATATCGGCTATCAATTAGTATAGAGATCAATGGGGTGCCCTCGTTGGTCGCGGATCGCAGAAACACCTGCAGGGCGGTCGTAGGTTTTTCTACCGGTAGCTCGTAGAATCTAGTTATCGGCTAAAGATTTCGTATGGATATCGGAGTAATTGATAAGCTATGGTTAGACCATATCATGGGGCGCGCGCGGGGGCGCGGAAAGTATGTAGGTGCACGAGGCGGCTTAGGATTTAAGGTAGGAATTAGTTAGAGACCCTTCGACCCTTCGCTCCGGGATCACCTCCTGACCCATCGTGGACGATTTTCCGGGACAAAGGGTTGGAGGAGCGCTAAGGATTAACGATGCGTCTACCGCGGGGAGTTAGGCTATTAAGGAAGTGATTCAACGCAATACAACCTACCGTGTAATAGGGTTATTTAAGGCGCGACGAGGGCGCGACAGGGGCGCCACGCGATTTGGGAAATTGGAAGAACTCGCCCTTAAGGCCGAGGAAATCGACCTGTGGGTGGAGGGTGTCATTTTGTGCGTGTCTGTTTTCCGAACTAACTGATTAAAGGGCCTGGTCTTTCTTTTGGGAATTTAAGCCCTTCGGGAAATTGTACCCTGAAATTTAGGGCAAATGAAGGCCCTCAAAGTCATGAGACCGAAGATGAACTACAAATATCAGGCTGGAATTCTCGCAAAGGCTTGCGGGACATCTCAGATAAAAGCATCGTGAAATATGAAAAGGGGACCACGCACAAGGGTATCCCTGCGCTCAGGACTCTCAATTTGAGCGATTTTTTTTTTTTTCCGCAGGGCGGCCGGAGGGACGGAGCGACAAAGATGGCCGCCGATGACGCAGGTGTCAAATGTAAATTTCCGTAACTGTGATTATATATTCTCTCGCGCGAGCTCGGGGCCGATCTTTTTCGGGCGTCCCTCCGTGCAGATTTCCCAGGATCCGTGACCCCTTTCGCCCTTTTTCCCGGCCCTCTCTGCGCCTCCTAAAAGTGGAGGAAAATCCGACTGGGGTTTTTTAAAACCGAGCGAGAGGGAGGGCTCAGAAAAAGGGACGCCCGGCGTAGTTTCGCGGTAATCCCGGAGTCCCAGCAATTCCCTGTAAGCAATAAGCAATAAAGACACGGAGGCGATGTTGTGTTTTTCCACGGGGCGAAATATTACGGGGGTTAACACCCAGAGATACTCTATTATATTCATTATATCCATCGATTCGACTATCGACGGGGCTGGCGATATTATTGTAACTTATACAGAGTCTATATTGTATTATCGTCTCACCGTATCGTATGACCACCCTTGCGACCGGCCGAGGAAAAAAGTGATGAACGAATTTCATCTTTAATCTCGCTCTGACAAAATCTTCAAAATCTGCAAAAGATGCGAAGTATGCGAAAAGTCGCAGTACAAGACCAAGATCCTTTCGCGTACCTCACTTTCTCGCTAAAAAACGTATTTTTATTCGTATTCTGTAAATCATAAAAAAAATGTGTTTTAACGCTACAAGTGAGATACGAGCCCACGACCAACACTTGATTATGCAAGGCCAAGACCGAGTTTGCGCATTCGATAGATTCTACCTTGGTCTTACGATCTTAATCGCGACCTTAGAAAATCTAGAAAATCTGCAAATTATGCAAAGCATGCCAGAAGTGCAAGATCAAGACCAATATCCTTCCTCGTAGCTCACTTTTTCGCTAAAAGTCATCTTTGATCTATATTCTATAGACGATTAAAAATGTCTTTTAACGGTGAAGTAAGGTACAAGTCCAATATTGGACAATGGAAGACCAACTATGCAAGACCAAGACGAAGACTGCAAACCCAAGACCGAATTCGCTCATCACTGGGAGGGAGGGAGCGCGAGCGAGTCGCGGCTCCGCGGGTGGGAGCGAGAGGGAGCGAGTCGCGGCATCGCGAGAAGCTGCGAGAGGATGGCAGCCGAGACCGCGCGCGAGGGAGTGAGAGGGCGCGAATCGCGACCACGCGATAGGGAGCGAGAGGGAGCGAAGTAGTCCGGGGAGCACCCCTTTATTTCGGGATTTTTTTCCCGGCAAGCTTCGCCGAAGAAAGCCGCCGAGTAGCCGAACTCTCCGGACAATGGAATCCCGTGCTTCGGGCTTTGTGGCCGACGGGTCGAAAAAGCCGGCCCGGAACGCGAGTTCATTCCCTCTGGTTGCCTCCCTCGACAATGCCGGCCGGTTTTTAGTTTCCAGTGGCGCCCGCTGGTGGAATTCCCCCGAGATGGGAATTCCCCCCGGACCCGGGAATCCCCGCGAAGCGCCTCCCCCGGGCCCCCCGCCGTGGGGGGTCCCCCGAAGGGGGAACTGCCCCCACTTTCCTTCGGTACTTTTTACGCACACGAGACTCGTTAGCGACTGAAATGTTTAATTTGACAATGCCGGTAGCTCTAGCGTAGACTCCTAGGGATCGTTAGCGAGTAGGCCCTACGTAAGCTGCGTATTTAGCGTCTAGGTACATTAATGAGACTAGTCGGTAAGGACTTTAGGTTTAGGGTAAGCTCATTGTGACAGCCAATCAGATGGAGCCCTGCGGCCGGCCACCTTTAGAAATCATCCCCGAAGTACAATCAAGGGTTTTACAAGTGACAATTGACTTCGACCCGCTCCGAGAAAAAAAAATTAGTTGACTGGAACGAATATGTATCGTTGACATACATATATAAAATCATGTGTAATTTCAAGAAACGGTGATTTAAATTAATTGTTGATTTCAAGTAATTTTGTTTATTCGATCTGACGTTTCACTGGACTAGCTCGCAGGATTTTGTTCTCGCAATGCACATTTCTTTCAGTCAACCAATTTCTCTTTCTCTCTGTGCGTTTTATCGCGTTTTAAGCGGACGGCAGGTGAATTCCCACGCCGATCTGACTGTGAAGGCGACAGAACTGGAAATGAGAGAGTCAAGGGTCTGTTTTTCGCGTTTTCACTTTCTTTCTCTACGTGAAATAATTACGTAATTAAATATGGCGACGGCCTTTCTAATGGCAAGGAGGAAGGCGAGAAAAAGAAAAGGGAAAGAGCCCCTCTATTCTCCCTCTTTTGTATCTGGTCCCTTCGGAGTCAGATTCATGGAAATAGGGTATATGGACTCTACAGGTTAATTTGGCTATGAAGACTGCAATTGCCAAAATTTAGGAGAGAGAACTGTGGAACTGTTTTTTCGCTCTTTATTTCTTTGAGCGGTATAACTGCGCAGCGCAAGATGGCGACCGACTATTTAACAGCAAGAGAGAGAAAAGATAGCTCCTCTATTTGCTCTGTTATTTCTTCAATGCCTTCACAGGAATATCAAGAGAATCGAAGAAATTTCGGTTCTCCGTCTCCATATATCCTACGTCTATGATTTTACTTCACCCGTCCGGAAACACTCGATATTTCCAATCAATTACCCGGATATTTGCTAAATCTACTAATCCGACGTTTTTGAACCACCTGGCTTTGCAATGGATAATCGACTTTGACTAATATCTACAGTCGCCGGGCGAATTTTAGTATTTTAATAGATCTAATCGAGTGGTTCGCGGCAGTCTTCGCCGAGTGCGTTTACAGTAACGAGAAACACCGGGGCATGATATCAGCGGCTAATCGGTCGGAAAATTGCCGAATAATCTGCACGGGCCGCATTGTGCCGACGAACTGACAAAATTGACTGGCAACGAGCCGGGTAATGCACCGGTTACCGAGCATCGGGATTCCCATTCAGGTGGAAGGTAATAATCCACCGCAAACAATCGACTCTGAGATGGAAAGGCCGCCATGTTGAAGCGCCTCGAATTTCGGAACCCCTCATTTTTAAACGCCAAACCAACGTCACGTAAGTGTAATTCATAAATCTCCCAATCTCTCTAAGTTGGCACGAGTTACGAGCTGCCCGAGATAACAAATTCACTGAACCAAAGAGACGTAGATTTAATTCAAAGATTAATTATCCAACTGAAATAAGTCGAAAGGAATTCCAAAGGGACGTCGCGTTTATATTTCCGTCGATTAATTATTCTTTTTAAATTAAGAAGACATCCCTTTGGTAATATTCGAAGGACGTCTTTTCCCAGTGTACGTGACGATTACGTTAGTTACATTGGTTACAATAATGATATTGATTACAAGTGCGCATCTGACCGTCATCGAGCGTCACGCAGGGATCGAAGGGGCCTTGCCCCGTCATCGATGGGAAGTTCGCGATGCAATAATTAAGGGGAACGGGTTGATACGTAAAGGTTGCTTAATACAACCCGGCCGTTAATATTTCACCATCCAATTCTGACGAGCGGTCCGACAGACTCATTTTGAAAATGACTCGATAATGCGGCAGGACTGTAATCGCGAGAAGCTCCTCCAAATTCGCGTCCCTCGGCGGCCAAAGCGACCGACCGGTACGCTCCATT